TTTTAACTCTGATAGTGTGAGAGGGCTGGCCAATGGTGGTGCTATCAGACTTGCGGGGAGAGGCTGTATCTCCTTAGTGTGTTCACTGTGAATTCATTCATGATTCTGACTAATCCTTGTGCTCTTGGTTCCCCGAGGTCCTCGGACCCTGGTCCTGAAATCGACGTGGTTGAGGAGTCCCCGGAGAAAGGTATCCACTGCCTTTGGGTGGGAGTTTCACCTCCTTTCTGTGGAAACCTCCTGCCCTGGGCGGCTCAGCCTCTCACCCTGAGACAGGGATGGGGAGGTCAGGCCCGTGAGATCATTGGTTTGGCCCTGCCAAGGCCCTAGGGGTGAAGTTGATAGTTTGTATGGTCCCCACATGATAGTTATTATAAATAGCCAAATGGCCCCTGGCAGGAAAAGGTCCCCCACCCCTATTCTAAGCTGGTCACAGGTAGGTGACAGTGCTGCACACACCAGCAATCCTGAGTGGTGAGTGGCCTTTTAAAGGTATATATGGTTGAGTTTCCCAAGATTGACTTTTTTTTTAAATCAAGATACATGTTTATTGTCGAAAAATCAGAAAAAAATAGAAAAGCCAAAATTTCGATAGTCACTTGGTAATCCCATAACTCTGAAATACTGTTAATAGTTTAATATACGTGATATACGCATAAACTGCAATTTTTAAATTTAAACATTTTTACAAGCGTGACTACTTTGCACACATTTCTCCCCATCGTGCTTCACGGTGGCCGGTCATGACACTGTCTGAGGTGACAGGCTGGGGCCACATACCACACGCCTCTTGTCTGTGCTACAACAATGAAGTCCCAGCCAATGGCGTGTCAGGCTCCTGTCTGCATTTGGTGACACATGAGCGTTGCTCACGTGCACGTGGGAGGTTAGGTGGCGTGTCTCCCTGCTGACGGCCGTGGCTCTGCTTCTGTAGAGCTGAGCCTGAGAAGAAGCCCTCGCATCAAGCAGCTGGCGCTGGGCAGGACGACATCTGGCCCCTTCTATTCTGCGTCTCAGCCACAGCCTCGGAGTGTGCAGAGGGCTCACTCGTCTCAGCAAAGCCGGTCAGGTAAGGTGCCTGCCCCGCATCCACGCTGACTTGGTGGGGAGTACTTTTGGGAAAAGCAATGAGATTTGGCCTCTGGTTTCTGGGCATGGGAGCAGTAGAGCTGGTGAGTGTATTTGAGGTCCGGGTGATGAGCAATCGGGGTCTATGATCCGCATCATCCCTTCGGAGTCTGACAGCGGCCGCCCACACCATTCCCGTGAGGAATGCGTCCCCTGCAGAGGGCGTGACCTGTTTCCCAGCCTGTGCTCACGTCCTACACGCGTCCCAGGGGAAGGCGGATCTGTGTGTGTCTCCGACCATGGGGCCTGGGTTAACCGCAGTCTCATTAACCCTCGGGGAGGCAGCATGACCGTAGTGGTTGCTGACGTCATCCCCTCCTGTTCTCGCCTTGCAGACCAGAGTGGGTCTCCTCCCCTCCCGCGGATTCGGTCTCCGAAGACGCTGCTTTTCGGGGCCGTGTCCGAGGTGGTCGGGCCCTCGGAGGAGGGCGCGGCTCGACGTACAGGGCCTTCCGGAGACACAGTGGCCTCTGAGATGCCGACAGCTTACCAGGTAGGACATGTCTATCGTGTTTAAAACCGTCTCGGGGAGCAGACAGACGGCCAGGGAAACACTGCGCAGTGACGGGGAGGCTCACGGTGCTGAGTCGCCTTCCTTAGTGACCAGCTGAGGTGGAAATTCCAACAGGCAGCGTTAGGTTGGCAAAACGTTGGACCCGCCTTTAAAACTTTTATTTAAAGTTGGAGATTGTCCATATTTCATTGCCCCGGCGTTTAGTCCTGAGAGCAAGTCTGGTCAGTGAAGAGGTTGGTCTCAGTGCCTCAGGCGGCTCCCAGTGAGGCCTGCCGTGTGAGCAGCAGCCATGTGCGTCTGGAAAAACAAAAGGAAGTTTAGCAATTACAGAAGGTAGGTAAGGGACAGTGTAGAAGAAAGAATACAGACAGAGTGTAGAGAGAGAGAAGAAAGGGAGATGTGGAATGAGAGAAGAGGCAGGTCAAAGAAGTGAGAAGAATGAAATTAGAGAAAAATGAGTTCTGAGAAGGAGATGGGAGATTGAAGGGGGAGGTCAGAGTTAAGATAATTCAGAGAGAAGAAGGTTGGGAAATTAGATTTGAGAGAAGAGTGGGATAATAGAGGGAGTGAGAAATGTAAGGCAGAAGATAGAACAGAAAGAGAAGAGCGAGGTAAAGAAGGATGAGTCTAGAAGTAGAAGAAACTGGAGAGAGGAGTCACAGGGAGAAAGTGACAAGAATGAAATCAATCTGAGAAATGAGTTCTGAGAAGGAGAAAGGGAGAGGAAGAAGAGAGTAGCAAGAGATCAGAGAGAGAAGAGAGGGAGCTCAGAGAGGGAAAAGAGGGAATGATCAGATCAGAGGGAGAGTGAAAGAAATGATTGAGAGAAGGGGGAGGATCGAGGGGAATAAGAAATAGAAGACAGAGTTCAGAGAAGACAGTGAGATCAGAGGGAGAGGTAGATTTGGAAGAGATGAGTGGGAGCTCAAAGAATGGAGGGAAATAGAGAAGAGCGGGAGATGAGAGAGAATAGAGGGAAATTAGAGAGATCAGATAGAGGAGGGAGAGTTTAGACAGTAGGACAGAGAGTGGGATGAGAGACGGAAGATAGAGTTGAGGGGGAAGGGAGGGAGAAGAAGAGAAGGCTGAGAGAGAGAGAAGAG